ACTGCTACCAGTAGAATCACCACTGCTATCAAAAGCATCAGGACTGCTACCAGTAGAATCACCACTGCTATCAAAAGCACCAGGACTGCTACCAGTAGAATCACCACTGCTATCAAAAGCATTAGGACTGCTACCAGTAGAATTACCACTGCTATCAAAAGCACCAGGACTGCTACCTGTAGAATCACCACGGCTATAAAGCATCAGGACTGCTACCAGTAGAATCACCACGGCTATAAAGCATCAGGACTGCTACCAGTAGAATCACCACTGCTATCAAAAGCATTAGGACTGCTCAAAGAGGAAGAAAAGACAGTCCCAGGCAAAAAAGCTTTACCCTATCCGGAGCTTCTGAATATTAGGGTATACTGATACTGTTTTTAAATGTAAATATGTCATTATAGATGTAGAAAATATCTCTATAATTAAACACTGTTTATCTAATTTCTAAAAATGTGTAGATTTTCACCCTTAATTTTATAAAAGCCCTCAAAAGTTTTAAATTCAACATTTTTAGGGATGATTTTCAGGCAGTGCCTAGGCAACTAAAAAGTTGACCGATGACTTTCAAACTTGGATATAGCACCATGCAGTGCAGTGGAGCAACTAGCACTTTTTTGAGGGAGGGGGCAAAATTTGATTTTTAGGGGCTGGTTTTTTTTTGGGGGGGGGGGTCTAGCCCCCCTGTCGAAAAATTTTTTAAAAAGAAAGCGCTGTTTTCCGGAATAGAAGTAAAAAACAGTATTTTTATTTAAAAATTTAAAAGGGTTGGCTCTGTGCTCTAAATAATATACCAAATTCTTATAATATTCATGGCTTGTGATTAAAAAATACTTCCAACAATTTTAAAATGAACAACATGTGTAAATGAATTCAACATGTGCGCGAAGCGTCAAATTTTTTTTGTTTCACGTATTTCTTAGCGTCTGTTAGTCTTAAAAAGTCCTAATAGTCCGATAAAATCCTTATTATATTTCTTATTATTCTTCTTGGGTTGTCAATGGTATATGTATACGATCATATATCCAGTTTTTTGAGAGGATAAATTAAGAATGACTGTATTTCTGTAAGTTGAAAACGAGAAAATAGTTAGAAATTCTATTAGAAATGATGCGCGAAGCGCAAAAGAAAAATGTTGTTTTTTTAAATTGGGAAAATTTAATAAAAGATGGTCCACAATCATGATCATACTGGAGTCAAATTAAGGGGATACTTGCCGATTTCATGGTTAACCAAGTATCGAATAAGTAATTGTCTAAAGTTTTTCGACATTCTGAAAATCTTCATCTTGCTGGAGATCCAAATAATGGAGTTTAAAAAAACCAGTTTTTATCTTTAAAAACTCACTGACTGATCTGGCACAGGAAAGACCAGTAGCCTCAAGATTTCTACCAGAAGCATCAGGACTGCCGCAAGAAGTGTCAGGACGGCTACCAGAGGCGTTCTGACAGCTACCAGAATCGTCAAGACAGCTACCAGAAGCATCAGGACTGCTACCAGAAGCATCAGGACTTCTGTTAGAAGCAATAGAACTGCTTCTAGAAAAATTAGGACAACTACCATAAATATCAGGACTGCTGCCAGAAGCATCAGGACTGCTACCAAAAGCTCCAGGACTGCTACCAGAAGCACTCAGACTGCTACCAGAAGCTCCAGGACTGCTACCAGAAGCACTAAGACTGCTACCAGAAGCACCAGGACTGCTACCAGAAATACTAGAAATGCTACAAGAAGACCTTGTAATGCTACCAGAAGCATCAGCACTGCTGTCAAGAAGCATCATGACAGCTACCAGAAACAACAGCAATTAGCATTGATATCAGGAGCATCAGGACTGGTACCAGTATAATCACCACTGCTATCAAAAGCACCAGCATTGCTAACAGTATAATCACCACTGCTATCAAAAGCACCAGCATTGCTACCAGTAGAATCACCACTGCTATCAAAAGCACCAGCATTGCTACCAGTAGAATCATAGAAAGTTCTGATAAACATAAACACTTCAGTATTTTATGTTTTTCATGAAAAACTCGTTTTATTCAGCATTGTTTACATCAAACCTTTGCGGAAAACTCTGAAAAATTATTTAACATAAACAAACATTTATATAAAAAAAATGTCTTGGCATTCCTTGTTCTCAGAGTAAACAAAGTGTACTGCAGGAAATAAATGATCCAGATTTCTGGAACCAGGGCCGGATGGGCTGGGTTTAGGGATTGTAAGAAAAGTAGGAGTAAACCTACAGTCCAACTTAATACATCCTCCTTGATCAATCTACCCTAGAGAGATATGTTTCTTATATAATTTATTTGTCAAATTTAGCCAACCTGGCATTTTTGTTTAATCACCTTCTAAATTAATCCTTGTGATATATTTTTATTGAGTTTTCAACAGGATGCCATTTTCAACCTTAAATATTTCTCAACGTTTCTTTGCTTTTACATAAATTCGTTGTTATTTTCGTTATTATTTTATGTTACCCCCCCNTAAAAATATATACTTATTTATATATATATATTTATATACAAAAATATATGTTTGGCAAACTCTGGATGTTCGCGTGAATCATGCATGATTGCATAACTGACTTCTCATGCTCTGAATCTTATCTACAGCTAGCACGTTTGCATGACTTTACAGGCTTTAGAGATACAACACTAATTAGGGACACTTTTTGTGGTAGAGATGGCTTTTATTTCTGTGATATAGTTTTTTTTTTTATTTGTTCTATTAAAATGATATCTTTAAATATTAAAGGGGTTTTCAGTATTTTATTAACTTTGTTCAATTATCAATTTATCTAAATTTTCGAAATTTAATCTTTTTTTCCATGATATTTCCAATATCTCCCTCCAATATCATCAGAAGATATCTTTTTTTCCATGATATTTTTTCTTTCATTTACAAATATATAATGAATTGCAATGTTTTTACCCTGGAGCAAAAAGTATTTTAATTCTGGATTATAAATGCTGTCATCATGTTTATCTTTTAACTGTGAGAACGTGCACGTTTCTATTATTGTGTAATCTATGGTTTCTCATCTTAAACATATAATTATTTCCATGCGCTTCATCTTTAAACAAGGTAATTATAATAATAGTAGTGTAGAATAAAGAAAGGGTAGATAAGGCAGGCTAAACTTGGCATGGGACTACGGGGAGGGGGAGGGGGGGGGGCTGAAATAACAGAACTGTATCTTTTAACCATTTGTTACAATCTTTTTATAGATCACTGCACAACACTGATATCTTCTTTCTGCTCACATTGGGCAAAATTTAAATAAGTCCAGGATGATTTAGAAAATGACAGGTTTCTTTCCGGAGCTCAACCTTGATCTGACTGCAGGCACAATATTTGTGTCCATTTGACATTTAGAGTATTGTCTGAGACTGGAAGTGAGCTTAGGTATGTTTGCTGTTGTAATATGATAAATGGCTGTTTCTTTTAAAAGAAAAATGACGCTGGGAATTACGGTTTAGTTTATACTCAGTTAAACTGTTGGATAACCCTGAATCGTTTAGTTTTTTTATCACAAATAATTTTCAAATATTGCGTAAATACATCAGCAACATTGTGGAAAATAGAGTATACTACAGATATTAGGAATAAAAACTAAAAATAAGTATATATGAAGCTAGATAATACAATATTTGATAGTTTAAACGAGAATAATAAGTAAAAATATCGAACTAAGCTAGATGAGATGAACTATCTTCATATCATGAATGAAATCAGAACTAAATTAAGTACTCGGTGATATGTTCGGGAAAAGGATAGGTAAAAAATCATTTATTAATTAGACTGAGTTAACGGAATAGATTGGATGAGATAAAGAAAGAATTTTTTAACATGATGATAAGATATGATTCTATGGATGATTAGTATCTAATATGTCAATGTCACATATGTCGGATGCTGAAGATGATTTTCTAATTGATACAATTATATTGTGAAACTATTAAAAACCTTTGAATTCTTCGACCGTGACATACGAAGCTAAGAACATCTGTTGTAAGTTCAATGTCGAGCTAAGAGGAAATTTATTATACTTACGTGTTTACAATTACAATAATAATCTGGAGAATTTTTTCTGAAATTTTCTTTAAAAGTAAAAACTATTTAGAGCAGGTGATCTGCTGAACCAGATAAACAAAGATGTAGACCAAGTAGATCGGTAGACCAGGTAGACTAAGCATCATGTAGACCAAGTAGATCTGTAGACCAGGTAGACTAAGCATCATGTAGACGAGGCCTACGCCAGTAATATACAAGGTAGGCCTTGTAGATTTGGCGGATGAAGAAATACCATTAAACAAGTTCAATAAGTATAATAATATAAGAACCCCAGCTAAAAAATAGACTGTACATATGTAGAGTGTAGAGTGTAGGTAGACAAGTAAACCAGCGCACATATGGAAATCATTTTTAATTATGCTCTCTCCGTATTAAATTTAATAAATTATCAATAATATTTTTAAGAATTGATACAAAGTATTTTTTTAAGAGCATTCTGTGTTTCCTTATGCAAACTCCTTTTTCCCATTACCTACACTTAAAAATTTCCTAGATTAAAGTCGGTCACGATTTCTTTATAATCAATCTGTATTTAATTAATTTATTGAATAATGTCATACCTTTAGTCGTATTTGGTTTGACATATGGCTGAAATACAAAATAAGTTTGTATTAGCCTAGCAACCTTAGAATTTAATATAAATTATAGTATAGAATATATTGAATAATACATCCAGTATCCACGTTATGTGGGATATGAGTAGACAATATTGGAGGTTGTAGACAAGATTAGTTATAGATTCGGGTTTTCGGCTTTTTTTTCTTTTGTTTGCTTCATTCAGTAAATTATTGACCTTGGTTGATTTGAACATTAAGTGTTTCCTTTGAAATCTTGTTTCATCTCATTACACTATCAGAATTGTTTGGAATCGTTATATTTTGCTACTTTCAACAAAATTTGTTTCACATACAGATTTAATTTGTATATAAACCTTTTGGCAAAGTTTCCGTGTCAAAAGCACTTGAAAATTATCATTTTATCACAAAAAAAATACCTTTTTTTGCAAAAATCAAAGTAAAATAAAAGTATGTGAATTGTGTTAGGAACTATATTGGCCTCGAAAGAAACTAAGTTAAATGTTTTAATCCCATATCTATGTAACCCGATGTTGTAGACCTTTAATATTTTAAGCTATGTATTCTATTTGTTAAAAAAGTCTTAATTTGAAATATTAAAGGTTTACAAGTTCAGAGATGTAGGGTTTATGTAGAGTTTGTTGCAAGAACTCAGTTCCTTTATCTAATCTTATAGTTTGAGATTCAGGAGTGATTGGTTTGCTACCAGAGACAAGGTTCCAACTGAAATTAATTAAAATGTGATCTAACTCTTGACAACTTAATTGGTATTTAACACAAAACGTGAAATGTATCCAACTTGTTATTTATCTAAAAGTAAATGAATATAATCGAGTTAAGTTGGGTTCAGGATGAAATTAGTTTGTTGGCATCATCATATTTGTAATAAGAATCAAATTATAATTGGTTTTATTTTTTTTCAAGAGATAGATTCCTTTATTTTGCAGAACAGAAAAAACGAGCACATCTTGATGAAGTGGGGTTGGGGAACCTATGGAGACAGGGGGGGGGGGTGACTGAGGAGACCCCCTGTCTCCAAGTTATGAAATAAAACTATGAAAAATATATATAATGATGATATCGGTTAAACTTCACACTTTCTGCAGATATATCTAATTAAGCTACAGGGCACCAGGGGAGCTCTTTGGTTACTCCAGAACATCTATCTATTTTAACAATAAATATTATACAAACATAAACACGGGTATATTTTCAGTTAGTTAGTACAAGACCCACACCGACAAGCTATACAGTACACATACAAAATACAGGGACGGTACACCAAATCTAGAAGGTTAATGTGTGGTGTCTTGGTGAGAGTAAAATTTAGGAATTTCAGTGTTTACAGTTGGGAATGTATGCAAGGGCGAAGACAGAAATAAATCTAAGGGGCGAAATTTGTGCGAAGCGCAAAAAATGTTTTTTGCCCCCCCCCCCCCCCCCCTAGAACTGTAAATTTAAAACATTTGGCTTATTGAATACTTTAAAGGTACACAATACACATACAGTCCAGTTACCTTGCAAGTACTACTTTATCTCTCCTTCAAACAAAACTAGCAGAAAAAATAGGAAGCTAATTTTTTTATGTTCTTCACTCTTCAGATTCAGATTTAAAAGTGTGATAGCTCTGATTTTTGAGGGGGGGCTAAGCACCCCCTTTACAGGTCAAGGGGGCACTACACCCCTTGCCCCCCTTGTATATGCCCTTGAATGTATGTCAACCGGATATATTTTGGAAAGACGAATTCTTAAAAACCAGCGCCGGACACAGTGATCCAAAAATTGCAAACATAGTTGAGAAATTTGCCAACTTCTCCTTAAAAACTAAAGCTAATCTTGAACTTTAATGTATATGTATAGGGCTGCAAAAAAGTATAAATAAGCTGGGGAAGTAAAACCAAAAGCAATTGATTAACCTTTTAACGAACAGGTGGAATTACTTTATGGTGTGTGAGTGTGTGCGTTTGTTGTCTACTCGAATACCCCGCGGGGAAAGTACTGAATGTTTAGTACGCGTCGAATCTTACGGGAGTTAACATACCAGCAACACGAGACAGTGAAACAAAATAGAAATTAACAAAATTGATTTAGATATATTAACTTTGACGCCTAAACATTCATTTTCATAAATTGAATATTACACTTACACTTCACTCTTGCAGAGTCGTAATATGAAAATATCGGTCTTTTTCTTGCGTGTTTTAGTGAGCGTGGAAGATTCGTATTTTTTTATTTGAATAACTTATATTTATGATACTGTTATTTTGGACAGAAATGTTCTCCTTATCGATAAGGTTCAAGCCTTTTAGACAAAAAATAATCTAAAAACCTTCGAGATATAGAGAAAATTTAAGTCCAAAAACTTTATAGAACGTCGTGCCAAAATATTGTTATATGTCATTTTATGAAACGTTTGTGTACTTGTCTTATTTCAATGGCTCTTTTAAATCAAATAAGCCTTGAAACATAGTAGAAGTCAAAATAGGATTTCAATTTTATTTTCATTTCAATTGAAAAAAATATATTTTGGAAATATCCTAATTTTTTAGAGAAAATCCGGGAACCAATGCACACATGCTATAATGTACAGCTAATTTAACTTTATAGCACGATGATTACTTTATAGGACGTTTCACTATAAAACTTTTATATATAACATATCTAAACCAAAACCTATACCCACTGCAAACCAAGATATGCGTGCTCTCACGCATAAATCGAGCAGTATTTGGCAAATTACTTCTTTGAAACTTAAGCTAGAAACAAGCGCATTGCTTTTAAAAAATTAATATGTCTAGAGCTACAAAAAAGTAAAAGTAAGTTGGTGAGGTAAAACCAAAGGCCAAGGTGTTGTGACAATTTAAAGAGTCGAGACTGTCTTCACATTTGGTGACTATATTTCTCAATTTTTTTTTGTCGTTTACATAATATATTTGTATGCACATGTCTGCAAGAATATAGAAACTTTTACCAAATTGCTATGTATGACAATCCTGTGAACATATTATTTTAACTCTTCAAACAATAAAATGTGCATTAAGAGGATTGTTTGTAGATAATAAAACACATAATACCTATTACCTTATTTACCTACTTACATAATACCTTTTAATACCTTCATATTAAAAAGAAGTAACAAAAACTAAAGCCCTCTTACCCATCAACGACGTCCCTGAAAATGTATTTGTTATATTGAAACAAAGATGACATGTGAGCTCACTGCGATTTAATAGTCTCATGCTCTTAAGCTTAAATTGTTGAGAATTTTGCCAATTACTTCTAAAAAACCAAAGCTAACAACAAGTGTTTTACAGTGCTAAAATGTACATTTAAAGGGCTACAGAAACGCATAAGTGAGTTAGAGCGGTAAAATCTAAGCTTAGGGCGTTGCGACACTTTAAAGTCAACCCTGTCTTAAAAATTGATGAGACTGTTTATGAGCAGGCTGAATCTATGTCTAGGTTTTGATAGAACTTGTGAGAACAGCAAGGACTTGATAATCAGTCGTTGTTAATGACTTATGCCAAAAAAAACTTTTTGACAGTATCCCAATTCCCAATTAAACTTAAATTTAACAAGATAAACTTGTCCTATCTGTATTATCTGTAAATTAAACCTCGTCAGATATTCATTGATTCACTGCTTTACAACTATCTGGAGAAATATCATCTCCCACATAATTGTTCGACAGAGTGACGTTTATTATGATAATAAAAATAACGGTTAAACCATAAAAACACTTCCAGACAGTTTATTGTTAGTTTACGCACGAGAGCGTCAAGATGCGTCGGGTCTGATGAAAGAGCTTCATAAATCTCTCCAAGATTCTACAAAAAGGGTTGAGTAGTTATGGAGCCTTTAAGGTAAATAAAAAATATAATTAGAATCATAGATTAAATTTTACACTTTTTCCATAGAAGGTTACATCGAAATACGTTAATAATAAACCTTTTAAGTCAAATTTTCTATTCCCTATATCTTTGCAATCCAATGTTATAGACATTAGATATATCAAACCATGAATTGTGTTAGATCAAATGGCCAAAGTTTCAGATATCAAAGATGTACACCATCAGCTGCAAAGATATAAGGATTAGATAATTTTAGCTTGGGGCAAGAACACCTTGGTCCTTTGTTATTTTATTTATTGTTCATTTTAACTGATTTTTTCTATATTTGAATATAAATGATAAATAATCAACGACCATTGTTGCAGAAATGATTGCGAAGATTTACTCAACAGCATAAGCAATTTGTCTGTAAAAATTTCATGTCCCTTCTATTAGAGTCCTGTCTATAAAATGTCCGGTCTATGAAATGTCTTCTTTGAAAGGAATTGAGTCTTTGGAACAAAATCAAATATTTAAACCTCAATATCTTTAGAACTCGATGTTGTAAACCTTTGATATTTCAAACTCAGATTATTAGATCCAACAAAATTCATAGTTTGAAATATCTAAGGTCTGCAACATTTGGTTCCAAAGATATAGTGATTAGAAAATAAGAGTTTGTGGCAAAGACTCAATTTCTTTCTTTTACTTTGAAAGGTTCTTCTATGAAAGGTGAACCTATATAAATTGTTTTTCTTTAAAATGTCCCGCTATCCATTAATATTTGATCACGAATTGTACCTAGTAAATCCCCTCTTCATTAATTTACAATCCCTCGTTCATTCCTTCTTTTTAATTATTTGAATCGTTTCTTATTTTTTACTTTCCCTCCTCTCCTCCTTGAGTTGAATTCTGAGTATTAGGTGAGATTGCAAAGAATGATTTTGCACTCCTCAGATCTTTTCAGAGTTTAGTAGAGTGAGTTGGAATTTTAATGATTAAAAGGGAAAGCACAAACCAGAGACATTATTAAATTCATGGAATTGCAAAAAAAATGGAAAAGGAACTGAGTTTTTGTCACAAAATCTACTTTTCTAATCTCTATATCTTTGCTACCCAATGCCGTAGACCTTTGATAATTCAAGCTATGAATTCTGTTAGATTAAATAATCTAAGTTTGAAATATCAAGGATTTACATCATCGGATTGTGAAGATATAGGGATTAGACGATTTGAGTTTGTGACAAAAACTCAGTTCCTTTGTAAATATTTTCACCTCTTCCACCTCTTCTTGAAAAATTTATTTTGATATTTGAAGAGTTAACTCTCTTTACTATTTACGAAGCGGGTGAAGATGTAGCTGCAGCTAATATTTTCACAATCTAGGATGAGAGTAATATGGTTGAACATTCTATTACAGCTAAATTTTTCTGTTGTCCTGGCGGGAGTTGATTGGCCGGTATTTTTCGAAAATTTAGGTAATTGTAGGAATTGTAGTACAGGTTAGACAGATAGGACAGCAAATTTATAATTATTAAAACCATTAGCAATACTTCAAAGCGTTCTGATTTGTACTCAACCTTTATATAATTTACTGAAGTTTGAAACCGGTACAATTTGTGGAATATAAAGCATTTTATTGTACTTTCTGTCAAATATATATGTTTTAAAATATTTAAGAAGACAGAAAATTGACAGCCAACAAATTCAGTTTCTAATTTCACAAATATAATTGAAATAATTGATGAAATAATTCCCCACTGGTAAATCTTGTTGAACCGTTGAAGCATGTATTTGTAAATATGTAAATATATGCAGGTGCAGTGAACTCTATACATAATAAATGGGATCTTACGTTCAGCATAGAGACAAACTTCCAGGAGTTCGAGCATATTCTTGACAACTTTCAACAGGATGTTCTACAGCTCACACCAACCTTCCCACCAGAGGATCTCAGGTCAAAATTTCGTTTTTTGTTTTTCTATTTTCAACAATATCTCGTGGACAAATATTCCGTGGTCAGATCTTATGACAGGGATAACAGTCATTTTAAAACTTGCAGTGGATTTTGAGATCAAGGCTTTGTAGATTAGTCCAATTGAGCACAGAAGTTTTAACCACTGAAACCCCGTGACCAAGTTTACATAAATTGTAATGGGAAACCAGATAGAACTTATAATTATAAATTAGGTTTGAAGTTTCACTTGAAAATGAAATTTATAAAAATTAAAAATGTAAATAGCTGATTTCAAATTTGGTTACAAACTAACCTAATAGTTATCCGTTAATGAGGATTAAAAATTCTTTAACAACTTGCCTATAAACGAGATCACCCTTTCCGGCAAAAACTTAATATAGTCTCTTCTTTCTAATTTCTTTTTTTTAACAGAGGTTCTCTTCTTTACGTTAAGCTTTGCTATCATCGTTGTACGTCACTGTCGAGTATCTGGTCCATTCTGATTTGAAACAAACATATATATATACAAAGTGAGTCAAAAAAAAAGTGTGATTTGAGACGCCTGGTGCAAAATTGTACCTTTTTTTGTGCAACTCTCCTGTATGGTTTTTTCAATATTTTTTTGAAAATTTGTAAATTTTTTTTGGTACTCCAATGGCCCATAAAAAAATCCGCGAACCTTTTTTCTCTCAAAATCAAAAGTTCAGAAAAGCAAAAATGTGTATAGAAATTATTTCTATCGAAATCTAAAATTTAAAAAGATTGAACCAAAGAATCAAAGAAAATTCGCAAAATTGTAAAAAGAAAATTCGCAATTTTTAGTTCTGGTCTAATTTTTTAGGAAAAGTTATTTAAATTCTCTAGTTCCTTTCTTTTTAGTATATTCTAAAGTATCAAATATACGCTGTTCAGTTAAAACCTTACAAACCATTTTAAAAAAAATTTTCCGTAAAAATTATATCAGAACTAGTTCTGAAAAATGAGAATTTTCTTATTACAATTTTGCAAATTTTCTGAGATTCTGTGATTCAATCTTTTAAAAATTTTAGATTTCAATAGAAACAATTTATTTACACATTTTTGTTTTTCTGAACTTTTGATTTTGAGAGAAAAAAAGGTTCGCGGATTTTTTTTGGGCCATTGAAGTACCAAAAAAATAAAAATTTTCAAAAAATATTGAAAAAACACAATACAGGAGAGTTGCACAAAAAAGGTACAATTTTGCATCAGGCGCCGCAAATCACACTTTTTTTGACTCACCCTGTATATATTATATATATATGATATTCATTAAACATATTAACTTAATGATTATGCACACTGTACTTCCGCAACCTAAAACCGAACTTTTGATTTAAAAATACATTTAAATGAAACTGCCGCATACAAATTTGCATATTCATACATTTATTATTTTAACATAAGAATAAAAACATTTCTATAGTCTATATAAAATGCTCCTAGTAGATTTGTTCAGTCCGTTTTGATAGTTCAAATATTTTAGTGAGTCTGCTGAGAAAATTGGATTTAAGATAAACACAGAAAGAAATATAGACGATGCTCTCGAAATCTCTAGAGAATCAATTTTTCTACGAGTCAAGGAACACTGGGAGAAAGTTTCCAAGGTATTTAATACGACAAAAATATCTTAAAAGTATCGATAGTTCGGATCAGGATAAGTCTGGAAACTTAATCGAAGATTTCTTTAGAAATGACTTTTTATTTTATGTTTGCTTTCTAGCAAGCTTTTATTCGGCATAGACAAATTACATGAAAACAAATAGAAGCTGCATTCATCTTAAAAGGACTGTAAGCGTAAATTCAATGGTATCCTTAATAAAAGCTTTAACTGATTGGATTGCAATATTTACAATTTTGAAAAAAGATTATTTTTATTGTGATTTCTCAATAAAAGTGACTTAATCGCATTTCTACTATTCAACATATAGGAATTATCGGAATTAAACACTTAATTTTAAACCTGGAAAAACGACAGTATTTTACACATTATTGATCGGGTCAAGGTTTTCAAGGGAACCGTTGTGAATTGTGCATTACCAATTTTGCATGGATCGAGAGAGTCATTATAATTTACGCTTACAGTCCCTTTAAGTCCGTCAGTCCAACTGGCTCGCTAGAACAACATGGATTGGTTCTAAATGCTCACAAGACAAAACTATACCTAGTTTTGCAAAATAATTTCGATGGCTTGGGTTTCATCACTCACAACCTTAAGAATAATATGTTTTAATATTATTGTTTGTTAAAATTAAATTGAATTATTATTGAAGATTGGATATGAATTACACATCTCATTATTTTTTGTTAATCTAGATTTGTTTCTCTATATGCCATGTGCAGCTGCTATTGAAATCAATCCAAAGATTTCAGGGTTTAATACCTCCTTTTAAAAATCTTCATATTCTAGTACATTCAACATCCAAGTGCATGTCAAAAAACAATAATATAAATGTTTCATGTTTATTGGTCTCTTCTGAATAAAAGCTTGTTAAACCCCAAAGCTAAAATGAGAGTCGTCAACATTGCATCAATATAAACGCTTACCACAGTGCTGTAAAAGATGCTTTCAGACGGTCAGAAAAAAATTCAAGATAAACCTGGAGCATGTATTTAGTTAAGATATGTAGATATATTGAGAGAAGGATAAAATAGAAGATTGAAATCCTAGAAAGTAGTAAATAATGAAATTGAATCGTAATACCCTACCGGACATCTCAATTCTACACACATGCATATTTTCTAACCTATTGATTTGATCTAGGACCCGTGAAGCATGCGTGTAGTTAATTATCGGTTTCTAAACCTAAGCAGCATGAACGTAAACAATTATTTACACCTAACTCAAATTATATTCTCAGAACGGTGTTTTCGTTTATATCATACGAGCCTTCATGCAGTCTGTGTTCAAATTGTTCTTTGCGTATAAAAAGAATTTTCTTCATTAATGGAATTAATTTGTTGTGTTTATGTCTTTTCCTATTTGATCAGTTCAGGGTGTTGAAAGTGCAGATCAAATATAAATTACATCAAACATAAATCAATGATCATCGATCGCATATTAAGCAAGAAATCAATATTGCATTTTCTAGGGTCGAGGGTCTTTTAAAAAAAATACAATTTAATGAAGAGGAAATACCAATCTTCAAAATAATGTACATTTGACAGTTAGGCTCATAATTATGTTTTTTGGTTTTACAACTGTAAGTATTGATTAATGTTATAATCAATCATATAAAGGTCATATTTTTTCTGCGTGTTTTAGAGTCTTTTGAGAAGGGCAGATAGTATGAAGGCAAAGGTTGAGGATATAAAGAGTCTTGGGGATAACAGAGTAGTCAGGTAAAACCGAGCAAATGTATCAAAGAACTTGTGAACTGCATTTTTTCGACCTTTTAGTTATTTTAAATATGTACTTCTAATTAAAAATAATTATCAGATTGTACTATAAGAAATTCAATATATTAGACCACGTAACATACTAAGATTTATTTTTCTTCCTTGTATAAAGTTTTTTATTTCAGTCGCCATCAAAGTAGTATTAATATCAATTTTAATTTAATTTCTGTCAACCTTTTTTAAATATATCTTTTTCATTTAGGCAACAACAGGGGGAAGGAAGAGAGAAGAAGAAAACAACTTGGACGGGATTAGAAGCCAGGAATAGAGGAGGGAAGAGAGGAGGAGAGAAGGATAGAATGTATGGTAAAAAGAGAGTTAAACGTCAGTTTGGAGGCCCTGGCCTTCTTCAGTTACTCTTTGGGGTAGCGTATACAGACAACGTTGAGAAGGTTAATATATACTCATTAGTCATTAATATTTACATCCTCAAATCATAGCCGTAGCAATAAAATTTTTACTAAAATTATAAGGGTTTCGTTCATAAACCACTGCTTCAGATCTATGATGACATAAGTGTTAAAAATTTTTCATCATTGTTCGAAAATTATGAATTGAGTAGTTATTATAATTATCATGTTTGTATCTTTATACGATATACATTCATCCATATAATATTTATCTATATGTTAAATGAGCTGGGATCAATATTCGACAACTTTAACAATTAATGCATTTTACTGAAAAGAAAAAATCTTTTACAGGTAAAAAGTGATCTTGAGGACATTGAACGTAGACTTAACAAAGATGTCGGAAACCTTGTCAACGAACAGAACAGGTTATTTACTAATATAGGATAGGGAGATTGAATGTTGAAGCAGTTTGGGAAATAATAATCATAAAATTGTTGTGTTCCAACCATGTTCCAACCAATATATTTAAGATATATTTTCTTTTAAGAGCGACAAATAAGCTTGAAACAAGAATATCAGATACCGATGTAAAAGTTGTAAAAGTAGAAGGCATGACATCAAATCTAGGTAATCTTTATTTTTTACTTTTTTTAAAGGAATAAAAATATGCATATATAATGCTTCATTAGTTCAAATATAAGAAATAATTTATTTGAAGTTTTAATTAAAGCAAAGAACTTTTTTTTTTGTTGTAATTTTGGGTAATTAAAAATCTTTAAAATCATATTCTATTTCTATTTTTATTTTATTTCTGTATAAAATAACGAATTAAACTAACAATTAATCTGTCTAAAAATGTTTAATGCTTATCAACGAAGAAAGGAATTTAAGTTTTTAAATGAAATATTTTTCCCCGAAGAGTTTTTTTCAAAAATAATTTTCTCCAAAAATGTGAATATCTAAATAAATCTGAATTACACGTAGCTCTGAAAAGCCAACGAAGATACAATATCCAGGTTTAAAATTCTTATTTCATTACCGATATAAATTAAATGAATGACAAAAGTGTTTTCGCCTTGAAAGCCTTTTAGTATGTGGTCTAGCTTTTAGTGGCTAAAAAAGTTATTAAATATTTCAACAATTCGAAAACTTTAATTTAATTTTGTAACTCTAAAAAATTTGGGCAACTTTTTACCAACAAAAAGTGGTTCATTTTCGAGGAGTATTCAAATCTTTACTGTTTTCTCTGTTTATGAAAAAAGGCCCTGTGGATAATGTAACATTTAAAAGTTGTCATTTAATTATATGTTTTTGGGACACTCTGTTGTAAACAACATAAGCATGAGTACCATCCTTGGAAAAAGTTACAGACGGAAATGAAAGAAGGTTTTGTTAGAAAACTTACAATTGGTTGAATCTTTAATCTATAAATCTTCCATTTTCATCCACTGGACTCCCACTTTTAAGTGAAAGCTTTCTCATATTATCATTGCAATAAGAGTGAAAAGGTGGAGTGAGGAGGTGGGGGAGGGGGGGGAGAGGGGGTCTGCAATATTGAGTTTACACCTTAAACCTTTTATTTAAGTCAAATTAGGTTCGGTTGCTTTAGCAATTTTTAGAGAAGTTTCTAAGTCGTACTAATTATGAGTTGAAGTTCTAAAATATAACGGAAAACTAGTAATTTCCATGAAAACTCTTGAAATGGGTATTATAAACATAAATCAGATGCGATAAAAATACTTGGGCGCGCTTGCGACGCCCCATTTCCTTTAATAATGATTCTTAGAATCCATTTATATATATAGATTAACCTGAATCCGTTGTAATTTTGTGTAAAAAGTGCTATAAAGTTTGTTTTTTTTTCGCAATCTTTACGTCTTCTCTACGTAACCATATGTACACTATACCCTTTAAATGAACGCAAAATTTCGGGGATTAAAGGATTATTTAAGTAAAAATATATGAACTGGAAAAGTAATTATAAATTGAAATCATTATTTAACAATGTAAGCTACAATTTTTATACAATGTTTGTAAATGAAAAGATTATCAGAATATATTCATTTTGTCCATTCCCATCATGAAGCAAAAAAATATGAATTTTAAGAGAATGTATTGTGACTTGTGAGAAAAACCAGTCAACCCCCCCCCCTAACCCCCTAAATTACCCCACCGTGCAGGGATGGGGGGAAGGTAGGTGGTAAAATTAAGGAATGTAATTACAATTTAATCTGTATTCTTAAATGTATCACTATAAGTTTTTTCATTGCATGTTAAACCTTGACTTATAAACAGTACTATATACAGTATCAAGTATACACCCATTTTTCAGATAAAGGTTTAAAGACTATGTTTATAAATGTCACTCTTTATTTTAACCCTATCTCTGCTGGGGTACTGGAAAACCAGGATATGCTGGGGGGGGGGTCAAGTTGACCCCCCCCCCTAAATCCCATGTTTGATGTCCAAAAATGACAAATGATACATCATTGGAAAGTTCTTGTGCTCTACTTTTAGAATCTGCAAATTTGCAAAAATTGAATTTTTTATCCCAAAATCCAGTTATATAGTAAAAATGTTTGCGAAAAAAAATTTGTCCAAAAAATGAAAAATTATACATTTTTGAAAAGCCCTTGACCATGCCATTTTAAATAACCTGATTTTTAATCAAGAAAAACGAAAAATGTGCAAATTTCCTTTGACAGGTTGTTTGCAAAAAATCTGCAATTTTTTTTCGCAAAACTAATGCAATTCGTTTCCTTATGTCAAAGGCTTTCCAAAAAGCTAAATTTTATCAAAATCTGACAAGTGGAATTGGGTCAAAACAAAGATTTAGTTTGTTACAGGAAAAAGCAGTCATTCAGGCAGTGTGCCTGAGGACTCAGGCAGTTAGTATTAAAGCCCGGTTTTAGGCCAAAAGGGAGGGCTTTGGGTATGTAGGAAAAGTCAGAAAATTTCAACAGCTTCAGACCAATACTTTTTGAGTTTTGTAAAAAAAACTACAGCAGGAATAGGGTTAAGACTAGTTTTTATACCCTTTGAAGTATACATGATTAGGTAGGATACCGCAAGACTTTTTATCAGAAAGTTTGAGTAACATTTTTGTCCTGCTAAAATATTCATGTTGTTTGGACTTACCACACTTTATTTTCCAAAACATATACAGGGTGAGTCAATATATGAGGCGGCTGGTGCAAAAGTGTAACTTTTTTGTGCAACTCTTCTGTATGGTGTTTTTTAATATTTTTTGAAAATTTGTATTTTTTTTTGGTACTCCAATGGCCCAAAAAATAATCCGCGAACCTTTTTTCTTTCAAAATCAAAAGTTCAGAAAAACAAAAATGTGTAAATAAATTGTTTCTAAAATCTAAAATTTTTAAAAGATTGAATCACAGAATCTCAAAAAATTTGCAAAATTGTAATTAGAAAATTCGCAATTTTCAGTTCTGGTATAATTTTTACGAAAAAAATTGTTTTTCAATGGTTCTTAAGGTTTAAACTGAACAGCGTGTACCAAAAAAAAATTACAAATTTTCAAAAAAAAATGGAAAAAACAGGAGAGTTGCACAAAAAAAGGTACAATTTTGCACCAGGCGCCGCAAATCACACTTTTTTTTGACTCACCCTGTATATCTTTCTTAACCTAACCAAACCTGGAAAACTGTGTGCATATCTACTATGGGAGGGTGGGGGGCAGAGTTCTCATAATAATTCGACCCTAATCTTATTTTCCTCAAGTTCTGTTTAGGAGGGAGAGGAAAATAAAGGGGGGGGGGGAATATACATAAATCAATATCAGCTACACACAATCAAGATCCTTTTATACTTGTTGGTTTTCCTTTTCTTATCAAAGTGTGCTGCAGCCAGTAATTATTGAAAAATGCCTTAGGAGAAAGTATAGTTTAGGGATGTTCATTTGGAAAAATGTTTAACTATCAATTTTTGAAGTACCGCTCTGGTTTGAAATATTCCCACTAACTAGCTTTTTTTCGTTTTCTAGAGGCTAAACTTGAAGGTATGGAGAGAAATGGGCTGGTTAAATCTCCAGGAGAAAATTTAATGGATAAAACTACCATTGTGCTTCAGGAATAATATCCAATCCGAACTAACAAACTATAAAATCTAAAAATTTTCACTCAAAAACATAAACTACAAACCACACTTCTAGAACTTCTATTTTTATGTTGTATATCAATCTTACTATTAAGTTGAAAAGTTTAAAAGATTGTTATCAAATCACCTTCACCGAAAAACTTCAAAAATTTAATTTTTCTCCAAACGTGACCACTGACCATATATAAAAGTTAGTTGAAAAGATATTCAGGAACTAAGTTCACAACTAAGTGAATGTGAAGTTTATCTTGCTGAGTTAGAACGGATTATACTGACTCTAGCAGGAGGACGGTTACCTCCTGCACTAGTCCCTGCCACCCTACTAAGGTTAGAAGCATTCTAAAGTGAAGAAATATTTAATACGAGAACCCTATAAAAGACTTGTCCTTGCTGATTGGGGATTTTTATTTTGTACCAATTAAATTTCATTTTTGGAAGCTTTTTGGTCTAATTTTTTCTTGTTCAATTCTTTTTGATTTGACTTCATAGTTGATATCGTTCTACTGTACTTGTCAAGGGTTTTGGACATGAGTGATTCATGGTTTTCTTTTGTGAAAACTCTCACTTTGAGATTAAAATAAATGAATAACGAGAAGAAGTTTGTCTTGGTACAAAAAGTTTAGTGTGGTCGAAAGTACACATGGAAAGTAGTTCAAATTTCCATATATCTTGATTTTAATTAAATGTGACCTGTATCCCACCAGCTTAACACCTTACATTATTTTTCAAAACAAATGAACACATCTCTAACTCTATATTGCTGACTCCTATAGTTTCGCAACCTGATGGTGGTGTAAACCTATGGTGTTTCAAACTTAAACTTTTTGATCTAGCAGAATACATAGTTTTAAATATCAAAGATTTAAGTTAGAGCTGAGATATTAGGTCCTTGAGTAATTTTTTGAAGTGCGGATATTAGACATATCACACTAAATAGTACTGAGACTTTAAACTTGCAATTATATCATCTATTACCATATATCAGTAAAATCTATTAAGAAAAGCAACAGATGAAATGATCTCGAATCTAGATTCTTGGCATGCAATTGCAAACTATTTACAGGAGAACGAAAAGTTTCTCAACCTGCCAACATCAATTTTCTCCAGTGTCAACATTGATAATATTTATAAAAATGTCTTGTCTGTTTGTTTGAACCCAGTAAATAATAATTTAAAAACAAAAAGTATTACTTCTTAATCTTACTTTTGAAATTTTAATTAGTGATGTTTTTAATATGATAATTTTAACTGTTAAGATTCCAGTCCCTTCCCATCCCTCACATGAAGCGGGTTTACCCCTGGTTTCCATTGTTTTATCTCCTCCCATCTTAACAATATGCAATATTTAGAACACATATAGAGAGGATCCAACCTCAGCTTCCATCTGGATTTTCTCTTCTCTATCCTCCAACGGAATCTCTATGGCCATACTACTCCGTTCTTCCAACCTCTATATATTTCAGCAAAGATTTTGAGGAAATCCATTCATGATCAAAATAAGTTCTATGCTAAATGGCTTTTGGTTAAAAAATTTCGGAAGAAATTGTTGAAAGTTATAAGATTTGTGATAAAATTGAATGGTTTAAAGGACATGTACGTACATATATCAGTTCCAATACAGGATTCTTCAAACGACCTCCAGTTATACAGGGTACATAATTTACCACTCAAGGTATGTTCCCCCTGAATGTAAATATAAATTTTACATATTTTCAAAAATTTACATTATCTACTTAAAGAAATGTATTTTGTTTTAGGTCCGCGGTGGATATAGTGTGACTGCAGATATAAATACCGAATACCTTCTTGTCGGTTTGGACTTTAACCTTTTCCTGTTAAATAGATTCAATATTTTTTATGTTCTCTTTGTACAACCTTTTCCTACGCCTTTTTCATTCTGATTTTTTACCGTAACTTAAACTGGTTAAACTGGTGTACTTGATCATGCAATAAACTATGTTTTCTACAGGTCGGGGTGGAGAATATCACTTGGAGCTCAGTAAAGAAGATTTTCAAGACTGTCAAACTTTTCAGAAGGAATAACTAAATGTTTTCTCAGTGCTTAATTTGAAGATTAAGTTGTTACCTTAATTCTAACTCTGATTTTTACTAAAAATTGAAAATATTAGCTGCGTAGGACGGTCAAAATTTCTTCTGTGGATTTAAACCTCTTCTTCAATCTTCAAAACACCAAACATGCGTTGTTCAATTATTTAACGTAGAGGTAATCCGTTTTTTCCTCACGTCATTCATGGTTTCATTTCTTATATTATATCATTTATTAATTCAGGGAGACGGGGCCATGTGTCAGAGCAAAGTAACGCATGGTTTAGTGCAGCCCTTTAACCGGCTCTACAATGGTTCATGGGTTTTTGCCGCCCTGTCTTCACAGGTATAAACACGTTTTTACTCCTTGTTTTATCAGGCTAAATTTTATATATTTCTTACAGTTTTCTTTTCTATAGAGTTTTTCATATTTTTTTTCTTTATTTCTCGTTGTCCTGAGGCCGAATTTAAAGAATTTAAACCGCGGCTCAAATTTTGTTGGTTCCACTTAAAGGAATTGAGTTTTTGCCACAAATCCCAATTTTATAATACCTATAAATCAACAACCAAATGATGCATAATCATATTTCAAACTTAAATTGTTTGATCCACCAGAATTCATAGTTTGAAATATCTACGGTCTACGACATTTGGGTTTAAAGAAATTGGGTTTTAAAAATCCGAGTTTGTGGCAAAGACTCAATTCCTTTGTATTGAATTTTTCAAGATTTAAGCCGGCGCTCAATTGAAACCGGTTTTTGGGGGATTTTAGACGCGGCTTAAATTCATTAAATTCGGACACTGTTAATACTTTTTTATCAATTTTCATTACGTGATTCTTTTTATTGGTAATTTCTGAATGTTTTCTATTTTAATGAATAAGTTTCTTGTTCTAAAACGGTTCTTTTATACAGGTGCCTGTAGTTCTTATGTGCCCCAACAGTACAACTCCGACCTCACTACTAGGTAAAAAATCATAATAGAGGTAATAAACAATAATAGAATTTGGAATAAAATAATTAAAATGAAACGATCGAAAAAATATGATGATTGATCAAAAATTACAACTTTCTTTCAATTCATTAAACAAATTGTATATTTGTAGGTTTTGGAGTTATTAACCTTATGGAAGGATGTACTCTCTCCTCCCTGGAGTACTTGTATCCGCATACATTTTCCGGATATTCAGATGTAAACCTGTCCCTAGAAATAGGAGAGGAGAAGGTGAGTTAGCCGTGCATCTTGTTCAATCCTGAATATTAATCCTTGATAATTCATTTGTCTAGTAATTCATGCTATAATTTAACTGTGTAAAGGGTTCTTAATCGTTTTTTAAAACGATTATTAAACAATCGTTTTTTTCGTTTTCCTATCGTTTTTTGTTTCGTTTTCCGATCATTTTAAAAACAATCTTTTTAAAAACTTTTTTAAAAAAATAGTTTTTAAAACGATCGGAAAACGAAACAAAAAACGATAGGAAAACGAAAAAACCCGATCGTTTTTCAAAAAAAATGAAAACGTTAACATCCCTAACTGTGTAACGGGCATTTTATCTTGAAAACATTCATGTATACTTAAGGAAAACATTCATTAGGTTACAAACCATTCTACTGAGACCAGTGAAACTGGGTCTAGTCTCAGTGAACCCGAACCAGGAATGAATTCAGGGGAGAAGGGTGAAACAACAACAGAATATGATGTTGATAATTCGAGTGGTCTTCATCAAATTGGTGAGATTTTCTAAGAAAAATAATAAGGATTATATCAATTATTAAATTATAGAATAAAACTATGAACACTATTTTTAACTGTTGACACAGAAACCTATGATGATTATGAGAACGGGTTTGAAACTATGATAATTTCTGCGGTGGTTGCAGAGGAAGAGTCAGAGAGTGATGGTAACTCAATAGGTAACATTTTAACCGTGTTTTGAAATAAATTATTAAATAAACTTTATTATTTCTACCAGGGTGAAATTTTGTGATTTTTGTTCCTAGGGACTATTTAGTAAAATAATATCCATCTGTGCAAATTTTAAAATGTATAGATCAAAAGGACTTTACTGAATATCAACATGCACATTCACGAGGAATTTTAGATCAGCAGACAAAATATTTTGCCATCATATGATCATGATGGCATAGTAAAAATTTAACTGTACAAAAATCTAGTTAAAAGATTTACGAAGAGAATGAATTATTTGGTGTACAGCCTCAACAAATAATTAAGTATCTTAGTTTTGCTCCTGCTTTACCATATATAGATACTCGTATAAAAATGCCGTTTTCCTATTTTTGGGACTATTCTTCTTAAAAGCACAATTTAAATGTCAATACTGAAAAAAATAATCATATGGGTCGAATTTTACAGGTCATTAGGAGTTATTAAAGGGACTGTTAAGGTAAAATGATAGGGGGTATAGCTAAAGCCTATGAATTTTACGAGTTGATCACGACCAATATTAGCTCATCAGATATCTCTGTCTCGAGAAATTTATATAAAACTGTGTCCGAGTTATACAAAAATTCATATATTTGTGATATGGTATTAAAATCAAATTTTAGACAGTTCATATTAAGCAAACGAAACGAAACTGAAAATTACGATAACCCAGATTGGTCGCGATCAACGCCTACAATTAATAGAAAGCCTATATATTACCTCTTTCAATTTACCTAGCTCATAGCTCGAAAATGGTCGGAAATCATGTTTAATAATCATTAAAAATATCATCTTTTGATAAAAACGTTATAAAATGGTTAAAAAATTTTATAATAGAATTTATCTTAAAATACACTCAATTTCTTAAAATATACGAACAACTCATTTTGGTAGATGTAAGTGAGAACTACTATGATGGTCCCGACGATGAATATGAGGATACTACTGAACCCGTTGAGAAAGTTGGTGACGAACCTGCAGATACTAGCACAGAACCTAGTAACTATATAAGCATTGCACTAGCTGAACCCACGATGAATGAAACCAGGGATAGGATTGAGAATTAAAAGTAACTGAATTTTAGATGTGTAGATTATAGCTGAATATTTAGATAAATGGGAGCACATGTATAAACATCACCTAAATAGTCATAACAACGAATTACAAAATAACAAAACAATATTTTTTTCTGCGAGTTTTAAGTTAGGAATATTCCCACAGCAAACATTTCTAGACTAGTGGAATTTATTTGCGTATATTGTTTATAGACATGTTACACACGTATTTACAAGTGCGTCGTGCGTAACCAAGCATAACAAATTCTTATATATGTTTAGTGAATGAATATTGGCAAATACGAATTATAATTAAAGAAAGTGCGTAAAAATATTTGTTTGTTTGTAAAATATCACAGTTCGTTTAGCTTAAACAAAATTTTGTGTGCTTAAAACAAATTTCCATCAAAATTTATAACAAAACAGAACCGTTTAAGTTTTAAGTTAACAAAACAGAACCGTTTAAATTTTAGAAAAATAAAACAGTTAAATGATTTGAGCCTCTGCCACAAACTCTGATATTTTAACTCCTAAATCTATGCAAAAAATCTGGTTTTGAAGCAAAAGGGATTAGACAATTTGAGTTTGCGGCAAATCCTTTGCACGAATGATATGCATATTTTATGTTGGTTGCTAGGCACATTTTACTAGACTTGCACTCTGTAGATTAGCAAAGTTAAGGCTTACTTAATAAAAGTATTTTTTACAAACATGTTCTCTTTCTTTCAGTTTAAACAGTAGTTTGCTCGGTGTAGTCCTTACAGATTCAAACAAGGAACTATATCAAACTCATTTAATCATCTTTTAAAATTAATAATATAAAGATACCAATATTTTTAAAATGTATTGTTTAGATTAAATGATTTGATCATTGTAGACAAATGAGGATTCCACAGTTTCCATATTCATTATAACTAAGGACGATTTTAGTACAACAGAAGGATCATTACTGCCTGTAGATAAAACCGTCCTTGGTGGAGCAAACTTTGTTGATCAAGAAGAGCCTGTTCACAGTATAGACGAAGTGGTGGAGAACGTGTTGAACCTAGTTCCTGAAACTGGAGAAGAGGAAACAACAATGCATCATGATATGCTATTAAAATTAAAGGACAAGATCGCCCAAGGAAAGCACTGGATTAAAGACTATAAAATGCGTCTCTAAACGCATAAAAAGTGCAAAAAGAAACTTTGTATAATATACAGAAATACAACGAAGAATTCATCTAGAAATTGAATTTGCTCTATTTTTTTCTCCAGTGTTTGATTCCATTCTGTATTAGGAATCTTTTAAAGAAGTGAAACTAATATATCTGCATATTTAAATCTAGTTTGTTATAAATAAAATCTAACTTGTTAAATCGTATAGTAAATATTAACAAACAAAAAATATGAAATATCCAACAGTCTGTTTATATTTATGTTTTATAAATTAGTTCAGAACAATTTTATACGAACATTTTGTTTCCTAGTCATTTAGCCATTTCAGTTTTATGATAAAATTACCAAAAAAAATAATTTATTGAATAGGATTAATTTCATTTAGTTAGAACATATCCGTTAAGAATTACAAATTAATACATTCATTTATATCAAATAATTAATAAAGCTTTGTCTACCATAACATATTTTAATATTTTTATTTATTTATTTAGTCTAATAAATTATAACTAGTTGATATATATAGTATATATAGTAATCCTCTGCATCCTCGGTATAAACAGAGTTGACATGCAATCACGCAGCGTTACTAAAATTCTACTAACATATGGTATTTTCTTAATCATGTGAAAACAATCTCCATTAAATCTCTTAATCTCCACCCGTGGTGTGCACCTGCAGACTTACTTGGATAAAATATGTATGTTTAATTTGCTTTTAAGTAGAATATATCTTTAACAATTCGTTAAATGTTCTGCTTTACTATGCATTTGCATTTACTTTTTTTAACATAATTTATTTGTTTTTACATACAATCACGCATTTAGTTCACAACGGTATCCGTAAAATTCATCTGATCATGCGCATTTCTACTACAGGAAAACATATAGAAATTATTAGAAATATATATTTTTAAGCCAAGAAAAATGACAATATCTTCCATAATCCACATAATTGGTCATTTAAAGGTTGCTGCAGGTACCATTGTGGAATGATCACAGTCACTTGAAATTACGCTTCCAGTCCCTTTGAGCTTTGAATCTCATTAACTTTGAGAAGTTTTTGCAAGGCAAAAATTACAAAATGCATTTCACTCTTTTTACGCTTAGTTTACGCGTTGTTTAATTTGCACAGAAAAACTTGCGTATGGTATCTGGGACAATACATACATGGTATCTGGGACAATACATACATGGTGACAATACATACATGGTATCTGGGACAATACATACATGGTATCTGGGACAATAAATACATACATGGTATCTGGGACAATACATACATGGTATCTGGGACAATACATACATGGTGGATACCTTCATATCGGAAGAAATTAAATCGCCGAGAGGATTTGAAAAATCCAAGCTCTTATATCTGTCTGATCGTGAATCATTAGAATTAAGAATCATGAAGTCATTTCATTTTCTACGCAATCATGACGTAAAAACGAATGTTGCGAAATATAAAAAGTATGTGTCGAAACTGTGTTTGCATATACGTATGTTACTTAGCTGACCAAACCGTAAATTTTAGAAAAATAAAATATGTTAAAAAGTTGAGTTTTTGTCACAAACTCAAATTTTATATCTTTGCAACCTGATGTTGTAAACCTTTTGATATTTCAAACTTAGACTATTTGATCTAACAGAATTCATAGTTTGAAATATCAAAGGTGTCCGAAATTTGGTTGCAAAGATATAGGGCAATTCAGAGTTTGTGGCAAATTCTCAATTCCTTTGGCCCCTGGGTACAGAGTAATAAAGGATAGGTGACAAATTCACGTTTTGGCGCAGGCGCATTTTCGGTCAATTTTTAAATAAGTAGTTGATATTGAAAAGGCCACATAAATTCATCAAATAAAGAAAAATGTGTAATGGATAATTTTTTATAATTTTGAATTAATTCTGTCCCATGATTTTTAACTTTTGTGTTGGGTACCCATAAGTGTTCAACTTGATCTCGGTATCCACAGCGGGCGCTTTTAATTTATGGTGCCATGACAAACTCCTGAAAGACAAACTCCGGAAAGACAAACTCCTGAAAGACAAACTCCTGACAAGACAAACTCCTGAAAATACAAACTCCTGAAAGACAAACTCCTGAAATTATGAAATTTTTCTCTGAATTAAATATGATAAAATTCGTAAACTTTAGGAGAAAAAATCCGCAAATATCCTAGAAAAAATTCTCAATCTTTAGTAATTTGAATATGCTTCAAGCAGCAAAGTATTACAATGATCAGAATAACCATTTTAATTTTTTTAAATTTGATATTATGGAGTTTGTATTTCAGAAGTTTTTATTTTCAGGAGTTTGTCTCGTCAGGAGTTTGTCTCGTCAGGAGTTTGTCTTTCAGGAGTTTGTCTTTTCAGGAGTTTGTCTTTCAGGAGTTTGTCTTTCAGGAGTTTGTCTTTCAGGAGTTTGTCATGGCGCCTAATTTGAGAACAATGCTTGATCATTTCATTTCAGTTATTCCTGCAGGTAACGACGACCAATGGATATCGAATAAAGATTGAATCAAATCAATCTGCTGATTAACAAAAGATTGAGATCAAGCATTAGGCTATGGACACTGTGCAGTTTAAATATGTATGTTTATGATTTAGCAATTTTAAAAAAGATTGGTTGATAGATAATCCAAAATTTTAAAACCAGGAACAAACGTTGCATTTTATCAAATTTAGAACAGATGTGCATACATAACTATATTTCTATGAATAATTAACTACAATTAAATGTCGACATAAACAAAGTCAAGTTTAATAATATGTTTCTCTCTCTACCCATCCTCCAGGGTTCTGTCGGAGAAGATACTTTCGAACCTCATCGAAGATAAAGATGAGTGCAGAGAAGGGTAGAGCAGGGAACCACCAGTTAATCTTTAGCGGATACATCTTTAAACCCTTGTCCATGCCAGGGGTGTATGACAAGAAGGCTGCCAGTAGGGTCTCGAAGACAAGACCAAAGTTCATCACCATGTTTGTCATTCCCTGCTGGAACACAGAATTTTTTCTTGTTTTACAGATGATTAGATCAGCCCATTGAACCACAACAATAGAAACAAAGAAGGCTGTGTGACATGTATATTCCAGTCGCTTCCTGTCTCTGTAGGTCCACTCCTGACCATAGGAGTCTTTTAGATCATTCACAGCCTTAGAGTCCCAGGCTCTTCTCAGCCCAAACAGATACTGGGGTAGGAATCCATTCTCGGCAAGAATGACAAAGTATACGAAGAATCCAGCTGACGCCTGGATCATTCCAATCATTCCGTACGCAACAGAAATTAACCTCTCGTTGACAAGTTTATCCGTAAACGGGTTTCTAGGCATCCTCTTCATGATGTCAGATTCCGCTTCTTCGTAGGCCATAGAGATAGCAGGCAACATGTCTGTTCCCAGGTCAATACATAAAATTGTTACAGTTCCAAGTGGTAAGGGAATGTCAGCAAGAATGAAAAGAAGAAATGGAGATATTTCAGGTATATTAGAAGTCAGCGTATAAGCAATCGATTTCTTCAGGTTATCAAAGATAAGTCGACCCTCTTCCACTCCTGTTACAATAGAAGCAAAGTTATCATCCAAAAGTATCATGTCAGCAGCTTGTTTGGAAACATCAGATCCAGCTATTCCCATAGCAACTCCAATATCAGCCTTCTTTAAAGCTGGTGAGTCATTAACTCCATCACCAGTAACAGCTACGATGGCTCCCATTCTTTGACATCCTTCAACAATAATCAATTTCTGCTGGGGGGAAGTTCGGGCAAAAACGATTTCAGTATGATGTATTAGAATCTCATCAAGCTGTTCATCATTTAGATCTTTCAACTCTCCGCCATGAATTACAGCAGCTCTAGCATCTCTTGGGTTCACTTCCTCCACAGGTATGTTAAGCCTGCTAGCAATATCTTCAATTGTCTCATTTCCCTCTGATATGATTCCAACAGACTTTGCAATTGCCTTTGCGGTTATTGGATGATCACCAGTAACCATTATGACTTTGATGCCAGCAGATCTGCATTTGTTTACAGCATCAGGTACAGCAGCTCTTGGAGGATCAATCATAGACATGATTCCCACAAACCTCAAACCTTCCAATGGAAAATTGACATCGTCTCCATCAAAGGGATACCCTTCTGGATACTTATCAGTAGGCAGCATCAAATCGCAAAATCCCAGGACTCGTTCTCCCAGGCCTCCCAGCTCCATGTAGGCAGTATTAAACAGATCTTTCCACTCCTGATCCAGAATCTTTTCCTCTCCGTTCACAATGATTGTGGAACATCTATCAAGAATCCTCTCAGGAGCTCCTTTCATAACCATCAGATAACTAGGATCCTTCTCATCTGGAGTTTCATGAATGGATACCTGAAACTTGTTGGTGGAGTTGAATGGAATCTCCTGGATTTTTTTGTGCCTCCTCCTGTAATCCATTACGTTCCCGCATGAAAGTTCAGTACATTTTAATAAAGCTGCCTCAGAAGCATCACCGTTTACTTCTCTTTTGAGGATAGGAATGCTTTCCTGACCAGGCTTGAACTCAGATCTGTTACAGAGGATTGCACATCTCTCCAAGATTTTCCATCCATTAGAAGATTTGTCGAACCCGGATCCTGACTGATCCTCAGAAGTATCAGCCTCAACAATTTGATTGTCAAACCACATATGAGCAACCGTCATTCGGTTCTGAGTAAGAGTTCCAGTCTTATCAGAACAGATAGTTGAGGTAGATCCAAGGGTCTCAACAGCCTCGAGATTCTTTACCAGGCAATTCTTGGAGGCCATTCTCTTGGCAGTCAGGGTTAAACACACTGTAACAGTGGCAAGAAGACCTTCAGGTACATTAGCTACAATAATACCAATCAAAAAGATAACTGCGTCCAACCAGTGGTATCCAAGGATGAAGGCAATGATGAAGAAAGTTACTCCGAGGAAGACTGCAACACCTGTGATGATATGAATAAAATGGGCAATTTCCTTAGCAATTGGAGTGTCCCCCATATCTAGCCCGGATGCCAGACCAGCAATACGTCCCATTACGGTGTTATCTCCGATGCTGATTACCATACCTCTGCAAGTTCCTTCAACTGCATTTGTAGAAAAGAATGCAAGGTTCTTTGTCTCCAATGGATTCTCGTGAGTAAACTCAGGGCCCCTGGACTGTGGTTCAGATTCTCCAGTCAGAGATGAGTTATCAACCTTGAAACCCTTTGATTCTAATACTCTGAGATCTGCCGGTATCCGATCTCCAAACTTTACTTCGACAATATCTCCAATGGTTAGTTCTTCGGCTTTCATTGTGAGTTTTTCTCCATCTCTCAGACAAAGTGCGTACTGAGGAACAAGGTTAGCGAAGGACTCCATAATTTTTGATGACTTAGACTCCTGATAGTAGGAAAAAATACCAGTCACTATCACAACAACAGAAAGTACGATACCAAGGTACAAGTTATCATCTGGAGGTTCCTCTAGAGTTGAAGCTTGGATTGCATATGCCAGAAAGCAGAGGAAAGCTCCCAACCAAAGAAGCATGGCAAACCCTCCAAACAGCGCTTTCAGGAACTTGATCCATTCTGGGGTTGTGGGAGGCGGGGTGAGACAATTCAATCCATACTTTTCCTGGTTTGCCTTTGCTTGGGAGGAAGTAAGACCAGTTTCGGGGTTTACATTGTTTCTCCTGATTCAGCAATACCATAAGAATAATTGTCATTAAAGAATCCGTTCAAAAGATTTTTTTTAATAAGAATTTTAGGAAATTATTATCTTTAGTATTGTTTTCCTGTATAGTTCTTCTAAAGTTATCTTGTGATCATCAACCTCCAACTCCTTCTTCAGGTCAGCCAAATTCCTGTCTTTACCTGAAAAATGATAATAATAGTTACTAGCTGGAGTGCCCGTCATTGCCTAGGTTTATATTGTTATTCATAGACATAGTTACTCCCGCCGTTTACCCGCGCTTGGTATAAAATCAGGATTTTAGCTTAAGTGCTGGGCGTTTCCCTTTGAATTTCAAAAAATGTAGCCGCTGTCACCCCCCCCCCAGAGCGGTACCCACGAGCTTCCGTAAAAATTTCAGCCAATTCGGTTCAGTCGTTTTATCAGCTGTAGCAAACATATTAATATATATTTATATATAAATAAATTAGGAAATCGGGTGAGGGGGGCTCAGAAACCGTTGTGGCCTGAAAAAAAAACCCTGAAATCCATACATAAATTTCACTGGTCCAGGGCCCCCATATCCTCTTACTACGCTTTGTATGTATTATTGTCATTATAATAATGATGATGAAGATTATCATAATAATAATAATAATAAAAATAATTTTATACAATAATTTTATTATTGAAAATAATAAAACTAATACCAATAATACTCATAAAATAATTTATACACAATAATGCTGATAAGAAGCACAATCTTTATTGATCAATATGAAAAGTTCTTGTTATGTTTGTTTATTGATTATCATGAAGTAACTTTACCATACAAACTTTCTATTTATCGATTTCGCATGTAAGACTCAAAACTATTCCCATAACATTTTAAAGCAGAATTTTAACATTCGTGTCCTTGTATGATAAACATAAGATTTTAAAGTGTATCGTGTATGTAAATATAAAGATAAGTTGTTTTTATTGATTTTGGCATATTAATTTATATTATATGGTTTTATAAAACTATAATCAAAGAAAGATAAGATCGATAAACTATAGATAGAACTATACTATATTTTAATTTCAAAACTACTCATATACATAATACAAGGAAACACATTGCTGTAAATTAAGATATATTGCAGAAAAAGTATGAAGAAATTAAGTCCTTTCCAAAACTCAAATTTTTCTAATCGTCATATCTTTGCAACCTGATTGGTGTAAACCTTTGATATTTCAAACTTAGATTATTTTATCTAACAGAAGGCATAGCTTGAAATATCAAAGATTTACAACATTGGGTTACAAAGATATAGGAATCAGAAAGTCAGAGTTTGTGGCAAAGACTCAACTTCTTTAAAAAGAGAGTTTGAATACAGTTGCGCCATTTTTTATTTTACTTCACATTTCAAACCTTATCTTCCTGGTTAAATTTAATTTTAAACTGTAAATGTTCACAGTTTATCCAAACGCGCGCTGTTTGTTAAATTGTGTTATGAATCTTACAATTAATGAAAAAATGATAAGGAAGACAAAACAAATTTGAAAAGTGAGAGGAGATTGAGAATACGATATAAATTATTGTTATGTTTTACAGGCTTTTGACAAATTCTGTGCGAAATACACAAAAATAGGAGTGGGGTAGCAAGGAAACTTCTTTTTCCTTTCTGCCATTAAGAGTATGTATAAAATATATTGATGATGTATAACGTAACCTTATGTTGTTGTTAGTAATCATGTAATCAGCTCACAAACATGATTGAAGGAATAACTATTCAATACAACATCTACTACAGTTTTAATGCAGATCCTTTAAAAAATGGATCCGAAGCGAAAATATATTTTTAATTAAAAATCAACATAGTATCTCGAGTTTATGTATATTTGACTCAATTTTAATAAAAGTACAAAGGCTTCACCAAATTTCATAAAGATCTTTAGCCGAAAGAGTGAAAGAACATATTGGTTTCATTAGAAGTCTCAATACAATAACCATCATACAAGGAGAACATTTTACCTTTCTATACATAAACTTGGCATTAAAAGGTTAGCTTACTGGACAAAGTTTGAGACCTTCGAACTACGAAAGTCTTTTTACTATCTGACTTAACTAGTGGAATGAACAGAAATAAATAGAAAAGGGGATAAAGGGTACCGTTGTGAATCAAACATGCCACAAATCAAAATATGTCTCTATTCTGTAGAGCCGCTTAAAATTACATTTACACTCACATTTAATAAAAGATCACTATGATTCATTAAAACAGCCTTCTATTAATATGTTATCTGAGAAAAAGTGGAGTTATATATATTATTGTTTGATATAAAAATTGGGGCAAATGTCAGCAGTTTTCTTTCTCGTCGGAGGAGGAAAGATAAAGATCAGGAAGCAGGAATTTGGAGATGAAGAAGAAATCTTACAAATATCACACCTGTGAGTACCGAGGAGTAAAAGTACCGAATGAAGATGCAGAAATGGAATATAAAGCAGATTATGAAGCAGTTGTACGTATAGCTTGAGAAGTGACTACACAGAAGAAGCTCGGAGCAGAGTAATAAAAAACATGGAGTAGAAACAGAGAAGAATAATCTAAGCAAATGTAATTAGGAATTAGGAATAAATTGGTGAATAAAAAATGTCCGTAATCAAATAAGTAGGAATTGGTAAAGTAAAATTTTTAATGTTATAGATTATAGAAGCCGGATTTTTAAAAGAAGAAAACGGATTAGAACAATTAATCGAGGTCGTACCAACATTTTTTGAAAAATAGAAAGAGAGAAGAAAGGACTAAGGAGAGGTTGAGAAAGGTAGGAGAGGGGAACAGAGTAGGATTATAATTCATAATAGGATACTGAATCGTTAGTTTCCTGAGGAGGTATTAGATAGTTTGAATAGTTTGAAGGGCCAGCACTCGTCAGTACTCTTTTGAATATGTTCTAATATAGACAACAGAATTAATCAAGAGTAATGGGAAATGGGCGGGGAAGGGGGGTGCGGTGATATTGGTCCTGATTGTAAGAGAAAAGAGATCATGTTCAAACAGTAGTTTAAAACTTTAATTTATTTAAGTTCCTACAAATTCCACTCAACTGGACTATAAAGACATTTAACAAAAATGTAACTAGTTTAAAGGGACATAAAAGATTTTTACAAAAAAATAACTCTTAATCAGAGAAATTAAGGATGAAAGCGTTGAAGAAGTGAAAATTTTATGACAATAATTTGCAATAAAAAAACTAATTTGAAACATGACTGTTAAATTATCTATTCACGAAATAATGAAATTATAAAAAAGAACGAATGATGACGGAAAATTATTACCTTTAGGCGGAGCCATGATGGAGGGTGAGAGGGGAACTGAGAGAGGGAAGCGAGGTTATTACAGAGGCTGCAATCCAACCAGCCGAGGTTTCGCCGGGGAATAGAGAACCATGCCCGAACCAACAGCTCCCGGCTAATTCTAGGGGAAAGGGAGGGATGAGGGGGGGGGGGCGTGGAGGGAGATGGGGTCGGGGTGGGATGACAGGAGGAGGGGGTGAGGTTCTAGGAGATAGGGTGGGGTTGTAGGAAGGGATATTCAAACAAGGCAGAGAAGGTATAGAAAGGGAATGCGACAAGAGTAAATTAAGTTCTAAATTCCTAAATCACACACTATAATATAAATACATACACTAGCTGTGGCTACACGTACGGTTACCCACAAAGAATGAAACTGTAAAGACGACCTGAAACTGGTACAATATGGATATCCTGAGGTAAAATTAAGTCTTTTGCCGTGAAAATAGTGTTTTGATGGCTTATTTAATGATTTGTCAAAGCAAGAAACAAGTTTACTATTGCAGAGAATCTATATATAAATTGTAATTTCTGTTTATCTGTCTGTCTGTTTGTTTGTCCGACCATAACTCAGGAACCCCAGGACCGATTTGCCTCAAATTTTAACTGGGACACTCAGGAGACTCACGGGGGAATGTTCTTAGCTTGGTTTTGTAACTTTTAGTAATTCCTGGGCATCGCTGGGTTCCCAAGCTAGTCGTGAATAAGAGGTGAATTCCGTACAGTCGTCTCTGAAATCTTATTCTTTGTGGGTAACCCTGTATGAACCCATTTACTCACAAAAATTCCAATAGCTAGTTGATTTATTTTTTATACATTTATTCTTTTATAAAGTATAAAGTATAAGATCTCATATTATGATTTTAAATGAAGATGCGCCGAGGTTTTTGGAATTATCATCTACAGGGTGTCCCACGAAACATGACATTTAATAAATAGCTATTTTTAGTTAAACAAATCTTTTGCTTAATTATATTTTACTTTGAAATCAATTTTAATATAATGTGACTCCCATATAATATTTTTATTGATCTTTGGTATCACACAACTTAACAAATTAGGGAAAAAGACATTCTAAACTATTCACCAACTGTCATGTTTCGTGGGACACCCTGTATCTATAATATAACCTAAGAGAATATAACTCAAAATATAGATACACACTGTACACTGTACAGTGTACAGTGTACACCCTATAACAGTACACTATATTTGCTACAGTTTTATATTTTAACCATTTTTAAGAATAAATGAGTTCACTGCGGCAAAATAATGCTGATTAATGCAGTTATGATTTCTACTCTTTTCTTACTATCAAAGTAGAGATAAGTCTGGTAACCACTGCAGGAAATACAATGGATACTCGTCTTTACATTTAATTGGACTTCGAAGAGCTCATAATGCTTCAAAGACCTTTGTGGTATAAAATCAGGGGGCGGAAACGTCATGTGTGTGTGTCTGTACCAAAAGAGTGTGTGTAAGGAATACCGAACCGAAGGCGTGTACTGTAGGTATATACACTACAGTACATAAGAATCTCAATATTTGTACTGTCTAGGAGAGTACATTTGTTTATTGTTAATTGTTTACTTATAAATAAGTTTAATATACATGTAATATATTTTTTACATATATAAGTCAATTCTATAAAAGCCAAATTTTTATGCATAGAATATAATTTGATTAAAGTTTACAATAAACTACTCGTTATTCAAGTTTAATTATAATTGACGACATTGTTCTGCAATTTCCTTGACCGTAGTCATGTTTTGTGTCCGTACCAAAATATTCTGTGTAAGGAATACCGAACTCATCTGCAAAGCAGTTCGACTTGCTTTCTCACGCCAGACCAGCGCCATTTCCTTTCCCTTTATTCCTATTTCCTGTTTAAAATCATCCTGGAATAACCTGCTTCTTCTATTATTCAACAACCTTTAAACTTATACTTCTTATTCTTTTTGATTTTAATATATATGAAGAAATTAAGATTAAAAAGGGAAAGGCAAGCTGAGATAAAAATCGAACTGTGTTAAATCCGTGTTAAAGATTTGATAAGAATTGTTTATCTTATTCAATTAAAAATTTTATTGTAACATGTAAGACTTTACAATATGCAGATATCAAAGTAAAATTGGTTTCTTCAAGCTTTAAAAAATACGATTAAGTATTAAGGTTACTAAAGAAAAAAACGTTTGTATTCAGTTTGTATTTTGAGAGAATTATAATATCCCGTGTATTTTCCTGCAATTTGAACATTTTCTGGGATATTATTTCTTATAATTATGAGAAATTATGTCGCAGAAGATTGAATTTTTTACTTAATATTGTGGATTTTAGAGTTTTTTTCTCACGTTTTTACGGTTTAAAAAAGGAATAAAATTATATAAGCAACCATGCACCTTGTGGTTTGTGTATAATTTGGGAAATTATATTTTTGCCATGATTTTTACTTAATATAATTTAAATCCAGGCAAAAATATAATGTCCCGTATTAAAACACAAGGCAGTTGCATAAATAGATATTATTTTCACAGCAGTGCTATGAATTTTTAATTTATTTTATAGCGCAAGGTGAGCTGGGTTCACACGAAACACACGAAATACTACAGCAAAGCAAACCTTCCAATTTATTCTTTCAACAGTATTGATATTATTCAAGAAAAGATTTTCTGTTATATTACACTATTTCAAATTTTTACCCGAAGAAAAGATATATATGCTTAAAATGACCCAAAAATGTCTTAAAACGATGCAAAAAGTGTTTTTTAAATCGTTTTCGGCATAATTAATAACAATACAGATAGAACGTTACTCTAAATAGATGTCGTCTTTTCAAGATTTAGGGTTTTTTTCATTCACATAAGACCCTGAGGCAGAAGCCCAAAGGAGTTACGCGCATGCCGCGTTGAATGAATAGACATTCAACGCGGCATATACTTCTGTAATTTACACTAAAAGAATTGAAAATAAATTATTCAGTATTGTGTTTAATATTCGACGACATTTGATGTACAAGAACTTACGGAATATTAATATAATTTTTAGGAATTTTTTTCGGTTTTTTTTTGTTTCTTCTAACCCAGTAGGATTATTGAATTCGCCTTCACTCCGAGCAACAATTACAACTTTAAACTAAAATATGTCAAAAAGTGCTTTCTTATTTTTCAAGTTAAAATATTTTATTTCATTATTCTTTTTAATTCAACATTTTTATTTGCAGGGGACATAAATTCCAAACAGTGAGTATTATTAGAAACTAGAAATTCAATTCCAGGCAGTTAGGGCGTTTCGCGCCCATCTTCTATTTAAATTGTGAACATGTTCTTTTTGTTTACATTTTAAAACAAAGAAGAAAAAAATTTTGCGGATTTTAAAAAAAATCGCGGATTTTCAAGAATTTATAATTTTTTTTTATAAAATCAAAAACCTTTAAAACATATTTCTTTTAATTTTTATAATTCATAAACCTTCCCTGTGGTCACATGATGTCCCACAAAAAATTTGGGCCCGATTGGTTCAGCCGCGTCTTGACGTTTATTGGATACAAACAAACACCCAGACAGACAAGCCAAATTTATATATAGATGGCCCGGGGCGAATGTGCTAACTTATCCCAAGCCGAGAAGAAAAAAAACATCGGTGTATTCTATTTAAAAGTATATATAGTTGTTCGTGTCATTATATAAATGGAATGTTGCTTAAAGTTATTTGACTTTTTCTCAATATATATGGAACGAGATCCGAAAAATCCAATCTTTCCATTAGTGCACATGGTGTTAAAAATGGACCGAAACCCGATTTGGAACTAATGTCCCCTGGGCCCTGCAAGTTGTTACCGATGGGTTAAAATTAAACATGGTAACACCAATGAATTTTAAGCAAAACCATTCACTAACGTTTGGAATTAAATCAGCATTTCATGTAACTTTAATTTTTAAAAGCTTAAATTTTTTATGATTTGTTTTAAAGTTTTTACATTGAAATTTTTATAACTATTCGTTTTTAAAATTCCGGAGACTGCATATTACATGATCTTTAGAAAACTCGCGGATAGAATAATACGAGATTCACTTAATTATGGGTGGGGTATTCGTCCTTTTAGGTTTGGCATCACAAATCTAACTTATCAGGAGAACATATCCTCCCATGGGAATTGAAATAATCCTCCCAAGACTGGATCCGTTCTGTTGGAGATGTGTCGTTAGATCTGGGGATAAATTAGATCTTAGCTTTGCTAGCTTTAATTGATCTATATGAGCTAAAGCTTCATTTTTAGATCTGAAGCTGTCCTCGGTCATCCTAGCTGTAGATCACTTTAAAATATGCAACTATGGCTTTGTCCATCTTATAGCTTTAGTGCGCGTCTGAGAGATGAAGCATTTGCTTGGGTTTAGTGCCTTTCCAGGATCCTAGACGGTGATCAGCAAAGTTTTCCATGCTAGGTTATCTGCTGAGTTGTTTGATGCGAACGGCCCCAGGTGTGGAAGCAGGAGCCATATCTGTTGGTATAAGGGGATGATTGTCACTGCGAAATTCATCTCTCGAATTCTTGTTTTGATGTTGGCAAGGGTATCCAGCCTCCAGGTTATGCTATGTTTGAGTTTTCTATCCTCATTACAGAGAGTTACTGCTGGGGTGGGAAGGGTGGGGAATTGTTGCGGCGAAACTACTCCAGTATGCACTGTTCTCGCCAAGGCAGATGCTCCTAACGGTTTTGCTGAATGCCCAGGTATAACAATTGGATAATTCCCCCAGAAGTCCAAGGAGCGCGCATTGATGATTTGATCCGTATAGTTTTTGGGCTATATGAAGCTAACCTAAAATCCTACTATCATAATTTTGTGTAAAAAATACTTAAAAATAGATAGGAGGTAATTTTTTACAAATTGAAAAATTAGTTCAATTGAACATATATTTGTTCAAATGATCTAAAGTCCAAACGAACATTAACTTATAGTCCAAATGAGCATTAGTCCAGTTGATATGACACCATTGCGGCCATCTAAAACAAAGACGACAAGAGGACCTTGAAATTGGGATTTAAGAAAGTATTTAACTGTAAAGATTAAGTAACTAAGAATTGAGCTAAAAAAAGATACGAGAATTTGAATGAGTATATTTTTGATGTTGGCATTTTTTTTTAAATCGTGAAACTCGAAAAATATAAAAATGCCAAACAAATTTTAAGTTTATTGTGATGTGGAAGAATTATGAGAGCTCTGTGCGGCATTCAAAAATTATCTGCGCTTTATTAATTGTCAACTAGGCAAGTTGTAACGAAAATCACAAATACAATTGCAAATTAATAACTCTAATTAATTTCGAACCTAATTATTAGAAATATTGGTTTAAGTATTCTGCTGTTTTCCATTTTTGGTTTTAGTTTTGCTAGAAATAACGAGTTTTTATCGGTAGTAACCTATAACCTTGTGGAAAAGAAAAACAGATTTTTTTTATTCTAGGAGAAATAATTAATAATACAAACTGACTTTCTTTTTATTTAATGTGCCTTTATTCTTATATTCTTCTAATTCTACCACCTGTGATGAAAGACCAGCAACAACAACTCTTCTTCCGAGCCACATCATTCTCAATTCTCATCTGAGCCACCCTTAAATTTATCATCCTTTCATTATACTTCTTTAAAGATTGATTGATTTCATTCGTTTTTCAACTTGTCCAACGAATCCGGACATGCAGGGCGCACAGGAGTAAATAGTGGTAATTTGTACCCCCCACCTATCAATTTTGTACATGACGACTTTTTCAACAATTTTTAATAAAATTAGTATATATCTAGGGTTAGGTTAGGTTAAGACACTTTCTGGGCCGAGCGCTGCGGCTAGTACAGCTTACACTAGTACAACTTAACCACGGGTTCCCTTGAATTGGGAACCCTTGGTAAAGTAAACTTCCCTGAACTTCCCTGTAAAGTAGTTGTAAACAATTATTAGGACCAAAGAATGATGTGCGACATTTCACTTTCATTATTTAAAACCGTTTTACAGAGAGGATGGAGAGATTGAGAAAGAGTTTTCGGCGTAAGGGTAAACAGAAAGAGAGTGGGATGACTGAAATGAAGGAAGAAACTGACGCTGTAACAATATCTGAGATGAGTACAACAGGAGAAGGTGAGATAGCCCCTCCAAGCAGGCTGGCCAGGTTGCGCCAAAGTCTTAGAATAAAAAATAACAAGAAAAAAGTTGACGAACCCAAAATTGAGGAGGATCCTGATGATCAAATCCAGATAGAACCATTTGATAAAAAATCTAAATTCCGTAGAAGTCTTTCCTTTCGAAAGAAGAAGAACAAGTCCAAGAAGAAAGAAAAACCTGTGAAGTTTGAAAATGATGAAGACAGTGTTAGGGCTGGTAGATGCACTTTTGCTGTCAAGTATTTGGGAAGCATTGAGGTTTTGGACTCCCGTGGTATGGAAGTTTGTGAAGCCGCCGTGAAGCAACTGAAGAAGTCTAAAAAGAAACCGGTTTCTAGCATCTTACATGTATCCGGAGACGGACTTCGTGTAGTAGAGAAAAAATCAAGTGGAATGCTGGTTGACCAGGTTATTGAGAAAGTGTCCTTCTGTTCTCCCGACAGGAATTGTGAGAAGGGATTTGCTTACATATGCCGTGACGGAACAACCCGACGATGGCTGTGTCATGCTTTTCTAGCGAAAGAAGATTCTGGGGAACGAATAAGTCACGCAGTCGGAGTTGCATTTTCTATTTGTCTGGAGAGAAAACAACAACGAGAGTCAGACTGTGGTGTTAGTATGAGCTATAATGAGTCTGACGGAACTTTTACGAAATTTGGTTCATTCCGCCAAGGAACAATTTCAGAGAGAATCCAGGATCCGCAGATATTTAAACCTTCTTCCCCACCCCCTGTTCAAAAGGTAGAGAATCCACATGCTGTAGCTCGTCCACATGTCACAGATCTTATGTTTCAACGCCAAGCGTCTTTTAAGGGGTTGGCCAGTCTTGCTGGAAATTCACCTTTTAAGCGAGGTGTTGCATATTCGTCACTTAGAGAGACCTCCCTTCCTTCCACAGTACAGAGAAAGGAAAAGTCAAGGATCTCTCTGATACTTGAGGAAAATTTTGAGGACGAGGAGTTGAAGAACGAAATAAATAATTTGATGAACAAAATGACAGCAGAAAGGTTCTCTACTAAGGTAAGCGATTAACACTTTAAATCATGATCTTGTTACATTTAATTTTTGTTTAGGGAAACAACAATAATAGTAATAACATCAATAATAATGGAGGAAAAGGAAATGGGGAGCCAGATAAGCAGGTGACAATTTATGTAATGAAGCAAAATGAATAATTATGCAAAATAAAACTTTTTTAAGAGAATTGTAAATAAATTTGTCTCTAGGTTGCTCGAGTGCAACCTGTACAACTGCAAGAGCCTCGTCCTTTACCCTATATTAGTCCAAGTCCAGAAATTATCAAGTTTGCCCCTGCCGTCCCTGATCCTCTTCCTTCGTCTCTTGATCCCAGTCCCTCCTCTACAAATAACCAAGCTAACACTGATATACCTTTTGATAAGAATCCTTGGGATCTGGTCCCAGATCAAAGCAAGTTTAAACATCACTCCAGGTATCTGGTATAGACGGTATAGACGCATAATTATTTACTTAAATTTTTTTCTCACTTTTTTAAAATCATTAAACTTAATTATTAGATCTAACAGTAAAACCGAGAACATTCGAGATAACCCAGCTGATAATTGGCTCGCTTCACTTACGAGTAAAATATCAGATATTGAAGATAATAATGCTTCATACGGATTCCAAGGTAGATCAATTGTAAAACAAGAAAATTTGCATTCTTTATCCAGAGTGACCACATTATTTTCAGATCCCAAAATAGTTATTATTCAGTGATAAACAATTAATAGATATGAACATGAAACAGGGGTTAACTACTACTTTTTACATTTTCACTTGTTTGTTATTAGGTTCCGACCATGAGGAAGATTTAGATAAGGAGTTTGCACAGTTGGCTAAACGAAACACACTGAAAAATACGAATCCCTTCAAAGCAGTTCTTTAATTAAATTAATTGCGTAAATTATGTTTACTGTGTTTACAAAACAGTGAACACTGAACATACTTATCATTTATTATAACTATTATTTACAATTTATCTATTATATTTTTTTCTTTCTTTCTTTTAATTTTTAATTATTTTTTTATTATCACAATTTTACGACCTGCTTTTCTCATGCAAAAAGAAAAACATCTGAAAACTTAGTTTTTGTACTTGTTGGATTCGACATACTATTACGGAACTGGATGAAGTTGTTTTTTGTTCCGATCGATATTTGAGAAATTTTCTCAGTTGACAAGATAACCAAGCCGTCCAATTATAAGCGCCCAACAGGTATAATCAGTTCGTCCATTTCTATGCGTCCTGAATGAATATAAATTTTGATAAATTAAATAATAATCGTTTTTAATACATTTTATCAAATTATAGATATTAAATTTCAATCCAGTTATTAAATACTTGTGAGATTTCAATTTAAATATGCCGTTGACCCCCCCCCCCCTTATCTTTTCCGTAAAAGAGCCTAGCAACATCCCGCGCGTGACTAATATTTATCTATCCTAATCTATGGGTTCATCTGATCTAGTATCCGTCCAGACAGGGGTGTTTATTTTCTTGAAAAACCAGCCCCCCCCCTTCTGAAAATTATTTTTTCTTACAAGAAGTTAGCTATGTTTTTTTAGAGGTTTATTCCTTGAATTCGGGAAAATAATAATAAATTAAGAGTAAAAAATATCAAAAAAGATAAATAAAAAAATAGATTTTTTGCCCCCACTTCATCAAATATTTAGGAAATTCTTAAAATTATACATAAACTCTCGCAAGTTCATGTAATTTGCCCCCAACAAATTAAAAAAATCTGTCACAAGAAGTATATTGGTCCATAAAGTCTGCCACTAAGAAAAGTCTTACGACTACAACAAAATTCTAGATGAACCATATGGTTGCTTTTTTCTAAAAAGGGGGGGGGCGTTAAAAACAAACAGGCGAGGTTTGACCCAATCCGTGTTTTATATTTCTAGTCCTTTACCTTTATACTCAATAATTAAATATAAAAAGATAAATTCTATTTTAACCTTTCTAAAAAGCAAATCCTTTATACCTTCCCTAATTTGATCACGACATTTGATCCAGTCGCGAGGTTCAGTCATCTAGAGAAATTTTATATTTACTTGTTTTTATCTATGTGCTAAAAACCACTGGGATAATGACGATTTTTAATTGATTAAAATTTACATCAATAATTGGAAATACTTTATAAGTCAAATGTAAGATTAATCTGCTAACTAATCAACGTGATTTATTATTGACTGGATTATTGACTTATATGTTGCGGATATATTTTATTATAAACACGACAAAATATTAAAACATTAAAATATAAAATAGTAATTTTGATTTTAAAAAATTAAGCGATAAATTACCATGTTTTTATGTATAATTTTAAGTGCCATTTTTCGCCAGAAAACCCTGGTTGGCGTTGTTACTTAAAAATGTGATTATATATACGACTTTATAAGAAATCAGTTCTTTACATTTACAAACAAAACTCAACTTTAAGCTAGTCTTCTGTGATTTTCGCCGCTTAGACTTTTCATGAAACGTTTATACTTTACTGGAATAGTTGATAACCCTTCAATAGTGTATTCTTTTTCGATTGTTTAACTTTATTATTCTTCCTCGTGAAGTTTATAAAGAACCTTCTTAATATTTTAAACGATTTTAATCTTATTTTATCATGTATATTGACATTTTAAACATTATTATCGAAATTTTGTTATATTTAATTACAAATTAAAAAGGACTTGCATTTGAATTTATTTAGTTAGTTTCATTCATAAGTTGTTTCTATGAATTTTGTAATTTTTGTATTTTATCTCTGGCTTTCAGCACTAACCTTAAACATGTATATGAAAATTATAATCGGTAGAATTTGATCAGAATTTCCGTAAAAACTTAAGTATGAAAAAATAATGTAACCAATTTACTAGTCATTAATTTTTTTTTGACAAAGGTGGGGGATTTTTTTCTTCTTAAATATTATCTTAATCTAACAAGCTTTTTTAATTTTATTAATCATATACAATTGATTTGTTCAAAGCAAAATCATAACTAAACCCCACCTCTGTCCTCTTACTATAGAATTATATATTCATGGATATCTTTTATTGTATTTAACTGACGATGTTGTAATCCAAGTTTCAGAAAAGGAAAGTAAGATATCCCAAAAATGTCCTTTTCTGGAATGGACCAAAATACTCATAAAAAGGGTGAAACTATTGAAAATAATGACGAATCTGTCACCAAAGAGGACGAACCTAGCCACACGATAGACGATGTTTCAGTGAATTACTATGCTATTCAGTTACCTGAGGAATTGTTTCGTGAAAGGGCTGAAACTGAACATTTGGTTTTTACAGATAGATTGGAGCTGATTAAGGTAAACCTTTTCATTGATGTATTTAGTCGTTAACGAAATCTGTCTCAAATCCGTCAGCGTTATGAATTTCTTTTGAAAAAAAAAATTTTTGACGGGGAAGTAAAAAATAAAGTATAATTCTATTTTTACATAAATTCCTTTTTCTTAAACTAATTTATAAACTGGTTTCAGGTGCTTAAAGATAATAAAGAGGCTAGATTTAAGATGTTCAGAAGTAAAACTGAAGCAGTGGAATTCTCATCTTTATCCTGTAAGCCTAAGCCTAAGGTGACGGATTGAAATTCATTAACAAGATTCAAATATTGCATATTTTTTTAATAGTTGATTATCTCATATCTCATATTTTCTTAATTAAAAGATTAATGAATAGTTTTTATTCTTAGATAATTTGTACATCTGGAGAATCCTGCCCTTTTAAGTCCCCTGTATCTCAGCAAACTGTTAAATTCCGTAAAGCAATTGAAGCAGGCAATATTGACTATATTCTAGATTGCATCAGGTAATTATTATTTAAGTACAAATACAAATTTATTTTGTAAACTTTATCAACGAAAACTATATAATCCTTGTTTTGAAATTTGAATTATAAAATAAACTTGTTTAACCTTGAAAGTAATAACCATAGATAAAGAAAGATTGCGCATAAGACGACATTTTTCAACTTGAAAGATATAAATGTACAGAGATGTTTTAAAGATATTCCTACTATATAGATTAACTAGGTCGGTTGTGAACATTGGCTGTTCTTATATTATTGAGTACTTGTGGTGTACATGAGTTCATAGAGAGAAATTTAAGTTAGTTTAGTCCTTCTCATGTCCTTCTTAAGTTCTCGTCAATATAATATATTGCTCAGTGAAATATTGTTGTTCAAATAGTTCCATTCCCGGAGTTATTTTACACTCTATTATGAAATCCATTAAAACACCAAACCACCCCGCTTATCATTGAAGTAAACCTTGACCCCTAGAAGTATGAGTTCGCGGACTGTACAATTCTTGGTGATTTTGTGTACATAAGCTATCTATGTTTATTTATCTATGGTAATAACTAACAACCATGAAGCAATATCTGATTGTCCACAGGGAAGTGTACTCTACTGATTTAAGAACGGGGGGTCCCGGGTCATAGAAAATGATATAATCTACTCATGCAGCACGCCTGTTGTTAAGTTCATAAACAATAACGATAAAATGTTCAGGTCAAACCCCACGTACTTAATGACTCCTTCAGATACTCCTACAATTTTGAATGCTGGTGCAAGGTAGTGGAAAAGATAATTCAGTTTGAATGTGATCTTCACTTTTTTGTTGTTGTTTTTTATCAGACATATTCCGTTTATTTTTAAACTGGTGTGTACGTTTTTTATTATCTTAATGAATCATTTTACAAAAACAGCATTGCATTTATTTGGCAGACGCTGAACTCCAACCTTCGAGTGTGCGAGGTGGGGAAGACTTCACTGCCGCATGATTAAGGGGGATGACATTTATAGATCGAGATTGAATCCTAGCCGCAGCGCTCGGCCCAGAAAGTGTCATAACTGAACCTAACTCGTAGCCGCAGCGCTCGCCCCCCTAGCCTGTCCTAGACGCAGCGCTCGGCCCAGAAAGTATCTTGACCTATCCTAACTCTAAATAAATACTAATCTAATTGAAAATTGTTGAAAAAGTGCTCATGTTCAAAAGTAAAATCTGCAGTGAAGTCTTTCCCCCCTCGCACACTCGAAGGTTGGAGTTCAGCGTCTGCCTCAGTTGATATATACATATTTTTTTCAAGATAATATAAATACAGGGTGGCCAAAATGTACGGATTGTACGGATTGATTTTTTTTTAACCCTAAAATTGTACGGATTGTACGGATTGCACGGATTGTACGGATTTGTTTTCAAATTGTACGGATTGTACGGATTTTATCCTGGAAAATACACCGTTTTTTTTAAATTTTCACTCATTTCAGCAAATTTTTCATGAAAATAAAAAAAAA